TTCTTTTTTTCTGTGGTTTTAGGCAGAAGAATACATGAAATCTTACCAATAAACTTATTGTTCCAAGATATGTTGTGGTCCCTCAAAGCAGTGCAGTTACTACAGCACTGTGTACTTCCTTTTCTTTTGAGGTTCAGTTTATGCATTAGTATTAGAAACCCTGAGCTGCTTTGGCAAAAAGTCACAGAGGCTAGAGATTTTGGGAGATAAGTGTTACTATGCCTTGCAGAAGCTGTGTTTGTATTGCTTAGTGTGCCATGGAAGATTTGAGTTCCCTCAATGAGAGAGGGCTGAGCTCCCTTTGACAGGAGGCAGCAGGGTGGTAACATCCATTTGGAAAGTTACCACAAAGAAACTGAGGCAAAGCAAATTCTTTCCATGTAGTGCTATTTTGCATATCAAAGCTTTCAAAAATACTGTAAAAAGGCAAAGAACACTCATATACAATTATGACAGCTGTTAGACCAGCCTCCTCTAAGAAACATCTTTAGAACTGAAAATAGATTAAATCTTTTCTTCCAAAATTCATTGTTTAATTAATCTACAAAGTGATTGACTACTTTTCCAAACTAAACCCCTGTTCTTCTATGTAAACATGCAATTTTTTTTCTCTCTTGGGGCTGGAAATTTCAAGGAAGTATGGCTTCATTTAAGTGTGGGACAAAACCCCAATTTGCATGCTTCAGTGCAGAATGCATTTCACAGCATTTGCATCATAAATTAATCTGCATATCTGAAAACACACTCAACAAAGTTCTCCATAACTCCTTTGTGTTATTTCTTCATTGTGTCTCAACTAAGACTAGATACAACAGTAGTAAATATTTTGGGGTGAGCTTTTTCTGGCCTCTTTACTCAAAGCACACTGCAGCACTCTCCATTTTGGTAGCCCTGGTAACTTTGCCTCCAGTGCTTCCCTGAAGATGCAACTGCAATTTTTTCTCAGCAAGGTTTCTTGAACTTGAATGACACCTATCAGAGTTTTGAGGAATTCGATAATGATAGAATTAAAAGAAAAATATTCTGCCCTTGAGGTTCCTCTGAGGAGAGAAGGGTGTACTTGGCCGCCTTCTGGGGATATCTGAGGGGGGAAGAAGAATCAAATAAGATGATTTTCAAAACCTGCGTTCTACACCTGTACACACATAGATGCCTGAAGGGATTTGTAATCCTCATGGATGAGTAGTTGTGCTACATTATGCCCTTTCATTTAGTGCATTGTGAAAAACATGAGTTGATAATTTTCAGGTGGATATTCCATGACTGTGTAAAGTCATTGTGAGGGATAAGGTACACATACACAGAGAGTGCTGGAAAACTCATCAATCTGTCCAGTTGTTTAGATCACTGATGTTCTAAAAAAAATCAGTGGCATTAGCCTAGTTGGCACAAGCTGGAAGAATGGCTATGAAGTCTTTGTCCTTGAGAGTTCTTCTTGATATCTGGCATAATTTTGTAATGACTGGAAGCTGATGTCATTCAATTGTTTAGATGCAAGGAATGCTAAAAACATTGTACTGAAGATTTGTTTCTCTAGTGGCTGAGGATTTTGGTGAGGATGATAGGAAAATATGTCCTGCTGTTGATTCTCTGGAGCCTATTAGAAAAGGGTGGATGTTGAACATCCAGGTATCCTTTCTGAACCTCTTCTGTAAGCTATAGTCCTTTCCATAAAAAAGGGGTTGCAAGGGGGCAAGATAAATGTAATTACCTTCCCTGTGAAGGGGATCAGTGTGAGGAGCAGCAAGTTGTGTTACAAAGGTCATAAGTGTCCTGTGAAGCAGTTTTTCTGGTGTCATCACACTCCATTGAGGGAACCCAAAAAGGACTGTTTTCAGAAGTGTTGAACTTGCAAAAAAGTTTCCCAGATTGTTAGTGTTTGCCAACAAATCTGTCTTGTTTTTGTAATTTAGTAACAGCTGCTGTCTTCATTATCGCTTCCCTTATTGCAGGCCTTTATCTGAGTGATACTGCATAACAATTTGCTCTACATCTCTGAAAAATATCTGTGCAAAGCAGAGCTCTGGATGGTAGTAATTCATGTCAATTTTAAAATAGAAATAGAACTTTTAATTAAAGCAGACTTACGAAGATTGCAGTACATACTAAATATCTACTGAAGGCATATTTTCTACTCAGGATAAATCACTGTTTTGTTGCCAGTGTTTGAAATATCCTGATAGAGGGTGCTGGTGCTTTATTTTAACATCCAAAAATGGGTCAGCTTCATTTGCCTTTGTTTTTAAATCTCACTGTGTTTTTTGTGTTGATAATAAACCCTTAGGAAAAGGCTGGATTTTGTCCTTGTTTTGTAATGAAGTGTGTTAGGATCAAGTCCTGCACCAATGTCTTAAAAAATAAAGATCTCTTCTGGAGAGTTTGACTAGTTTATATTTGCTGAGCATAGCCAAACGCTGAAGTTAGTAGGAAGATAATAATCGTTCCTCATTCCAGTTCTCTCTTTCCTGTTTCCCCTCCATATTTTCCTATGGTAACATAACACCAGAGGCTATACATCCCTTTACTACAAGAAAAGAAAGAGTTTGATCAGAGACCTGCAGATGGCTCCTGTGACCAGTCACTCCAACAAGATATGAAGCACCATAAAGACTTTCTTGGACATAGTTTAAGACTGTGAATTGAACTCCCACAAGGACCAGTACAAACCAAAGCAACTTCTGTGCTGAGTTAAAAAAGTACGTGTTTTAACTTGTTTTTCCTAGCACAACATATACAAGTCTGTGTATATATCTAATTAAAAAAAAAGAAAAAGAAAAAGAAAGGGCAAAACCCTCAAAAACTATGCTGCACACACTGCTACACCTGAGGAGTGTATAAGGATGGATGAGAGCATGACCACAGGACAGATGTCAGTCATGTCACTTCACAAACTACTGGAAAGCACTCAGTTGCTCCAGTGAGGATATGGGCATTAGACCTTAATGGAAGAGAATGGAATAGAAAATTAAAAGCCAGTCCCATCACTTCTGGACTTAAAATATACACAAGCCATGAAAGTACACTCCTGAGGAAATGCACAAACCATCTACCAACAGCATGACAAAACAGCTTTTTCCACTCTCTTCCTAGGACTGAACATTTGCTTGTCACTGTCCCTGCTGCAATGAGTTTTGGCATGGATGCATCCACTGGGAAGTGTGATTATGAGGGTAACATGTCTCCTATCAGCTTGTATAATCTTGTTGATGTGCCCCACCAGAATGCATGTGAAGCTAGTTCATTTTCACACCTGAATCCCCTAAGGTCATAACAGCCTGCATTTAGACTAAAATGTGAGGAAGGATATTAAGATTTGGGACTTGTAAGTTCAGGAATGCAAAGGCCTCTGCTGCTAGAGAAGATTTTTCATTAGTTGTCAGTAGCACTGTCTTGTGTCTTTGTTGTAAGTTACTGAGGACAAAGAGACCCATTGAACGTAGAAGGAGTTGTGATGCCCTGTGGCACAGGTGATCAGCATTATTATGAAATTACTCTGTAACATTATCTTGGCACTGGTCATAAGTGAATAAAAACGTAAAACTAAAAGTATTTTCCCCAAGTGAAACCTTTGAAAAATGTAGTTTAAGCTGATCCAAAATTACTTGTTTCTTCCTGGATCGGTGACGGATTCCTGTTCATCTTAGCAGGGAACTACAGAACATTTTGCTCCTTAGGCTACAATCAGAAGATCAGTTTCTTCTCCCTTATCTGTAATGTCAGAGATCTGGAATGGGTACTTTGGCTTATCACTGATGGTTAGGCAGTTCTAAACAGAACTCAATTTCCTCTGCCAAATGAAGTGGTGTGAGCAATAACAGGTTTGGATGCAAAGACTAGTTCTGGGATAATTCACAATTTATATGAGCTGTTAAAAATACACCTGAACTGTAGAATCTAAGTGCAAGCTCCTTGCCTGCATTGATAGGGTATTTGCTCAAGTTTGATACTTTGGAGAAATATTTTTAATATTTCGCCATTGTTAATTGCTTGGATTTACTTGCACTTCTGTTATCACATTTCAGCTAAGACATCTCTCGTGCAGTTTTAGTATCTAAGCTGTTTAATGCAACATTCTGACTGTATTTTAATAGGTACTTTTAAAAGCAAGAGATTATATTAGTCTCTACCTGCTCCAAAATACTCTTTCCTGTAAATGAACATCTCTTGCAGCTACTGATTAATGAAAGCCAGAGCCTCAACTAAATAAAAGTAATCCTGAAATTAGAAAGATAAATCCTAGCTTTGGAGAGTCTTAACGAGTGCAGCAAGATATAGAAACCATGGCCAGAAGCTTTACAAAGGAAATCACTAATAGCATTCTTTTCTATATCTAAATAATATGTGGAACTTCAGGAAATATATAACATGTAGCTTTGTAAAAAACAGATGTGCTTCAAAAAATGAGTAAATCGCTTGAGTAGGAATGGTTTTTAGATCATCAAAAGCACAGAGGTTTCTGTATATTATTTTCTGTCTGTTTTGTTTTTCTTTTTTTAATAACAAAACAAACCCTCAAATACTTTATCAGCAACACTTTCTGTTTTGGGAAATGGAAATTTTTCATGGACTTAGAACCATTGTCATCTCTTCAAATGCTTAGTGTTCCAAAAAGGTCATTTCAATAATTGCAAATGGGGACTAGTGGTTATTATTTTCTTACTCCTTTTAGAAATGGCTAGGATGTGCTTTTGTATGTGCTATTTGCAATTCATCTGATCTGATTATAGTGTGATAACTGCTCCTCCAAAATGCACTGTGCAAACTTGTAAATTCCAGGAAAACCTTTTACGTAGGCACAGACTATCTAACAAACGGTGCTGAGGTGCTTCCTATGCCAAATTCTTTTGCCAGTGCATAACGAAGGGATAGAGATTAGCTCCTGTTTTTTAATGTAGGTTTTAGACACAGGAAAGGATGTGGATTAATATAGTGAAAGCACATATTGACATACAGAATAGATGAAAATGAAGTCACAAAAAACATTTATTCCTTTCTCCTAGTGGGTCCTGGCTTGGATTCAGGCAAGTGGACAACAAAAGAGGAAACAGACTGCACATCGTGACTTTCCTCCAGCACTCAGGTACTGAGTCAACAAAGTCTCCAACTGTAATATTGTGGACAATATTTATGCAAATGTTTGTGTTTGTTTTGGGAATTTAGAGAAAGCCACAAAATGCTTTTCGGTGACTTCACAGGGAGCTTGTATTAAAGCACTTTGGTGCTTTGTTGGATAGCACTAGACATATTGAAATATCACCACCCAGCCTGTGCAAACCAAAGACTTTATCTTCAGCAAAGCCAACGGAAGGGATGACATTCCCTGAGGTAGCCAATATACCTCAGCTGGCTCAACAGTATTTATTTGTGGCTGGAGCAAGGGGATTCACTGTCCTTGGATGGAAATCTTTGTTGTGGCGAGTCCTGCCAGATACACTGAGTACTTTAAATATCTGAACAGATGCTTCCTGGAAGGAAGCACTGCCACCAGTGTCAGTAAGCAACCTTATTCCTTACCATATAAAATCTAGATTAAGCTACTCAGTTGCTGAATTTCCTAAAGTTTTTATTTTTATCTTTATCAGTTTAACTTCAGGGTAATGTCATTTCACCTAATATTGATATAGCTCTGCCTTCCTTATCCTTCTGCTCTTTTCTCTGTCAAACATCCCCATTCTCTTTTTTTAAGACTCTCCTAATGTCCCAGCTTTTTCCATATTTCTGGAAATATTGGCCTTTGTCATTATGTATCCCTCACCCTTTGCACTTTTCAGGCCACCATTACTCACTTCAACGACATTACTGAGTCCTGAGAAATGTATAATTGTCAGAAATTTATAGAGAAGGAGAGGGAAATAGGACCTTTGCCTGGTGCTCTTCTTTTTTATTAACAAATACCCTTTGGTAATGAAGATTTCAAGGGAGCTTCATTAGGGTTTAAGAAGGGAACAGTGTGAAACACAATTACCTGGAGCCAAGATTCTGTATTTTCCCTTCAGCAGTCCAGTACTATGTTTTGAAAGCAATCAATGGAGAGTTGCCTGGCAAACATTCAATCTTTCCTTGAAATGTTCAGTATAATTAGACCCTCTCCTGTCTGTCATGAGAGGACAAATTGTTTGTGTACTGTTAACAGTAGAGTACTGTAGTATGTCTTCAACCTTTATCATAATTATATACCAATATTAATGGAAATTTCCCAAAGTGAGAAACGGGAACTTATTACTAAGCTAATTGCTTGATAATGCATTGCTGTTTTTCATGGTGAAATACTCTATTTTTATTCCTTCATTATTCTTAGGGTCCTCAGTATTCACAATGCATGTACAAACCCACTTGGAAGCTTTCTGTAAAGATTCATCTATCCCATTTCTGTGGGCTCATTTTTGTTTCTAACTGGAGTGATGAACTACCAAACTAAAAAAAAAAAAAAGCTAGTCCAGCTCTGTCCAAAATTAACTGGTTGAAGAGACAAAAAGTAGTCATTAGTTTCACAGAAACTACTGTCAGATGCTTATGCAAATAATAATATTGGAGTCTTTCTTTGTTGAGACTCTGTTATGCTTTAAAGCCACTGTGCCTTTGTGTGTCGCTCTTGGCTGATAACTGTAAGTGATAATGTGGTTGCTATGATGCAAAGGCATGCTGGAGCCTCAGCCCAGCAGGAATGATAGCAGACATGCATGTGCCTGGGTTGGAGATGTGGTGGAAGAGTTGATTTGGGTTTAGGGAATAATAATAATAAATAATTAATAGTTTCTGGAGTGTTTTGGTGATAATCCTTATGACTCCTTAATCCTTATGATAAACCTTTGAAAAAGATAAAGAAATTTGACTCAAACAGTTAATTGTGTTAACAGGAAAGTCAGGGGATGGGTGAGTCAGTTTGTTTGCTTTGTCACTTTTAAAGTAGCTGCTGTTTTATAACATTCAGTCATTACAGAGTGCATGTGTGGGGGAAGTTAGAAGATTTTTAATGTAATTTTCTGACTAGGTTCAGAGTCAGCTACAGATTAAGTAATTTGTGTGTAAAACAGGATATATAGCATGTTAAGAGAAAAAGAAAGCATATCTCTAGGCCAAGCTGACCATGAAGTTTAGGTGGAGGTGCCAAACAAGCAAACAGAAATTCAGCTGCCTTCTTCCTAAGGAAGCAAAGTGAAGGGGGAATACTTGAAAATTACAGGCTGCAGCTCTTTGTGCTAACTGAGGGTCTAACCTAAAATATTCGGGTTCACTGTGATATTTCATTCTGTGAAAGCAATAAACAGGGAGTGATAGGAATGCCTTCCTGTTTAGCACATTGGACCAAACAGACTGGGAATAGGACTTAGGATATTTGGTTTTTCATTAGTTTCTGTGGTGCACCTTTGTATGCTAAATTTCACAGTGGTGGTGTGCAAAACTATAGAATGGAACAGAACGTGCCAATTGACTGCCTTAAAAAAGCTGCATATTTCTCTGCATTGTTCTGAAGTAACTGATCTGCATCACATGGTTCTTATAATAATATACAATAACTTATTATTTATCTCTTGTTCCTGCATGGAGCATACCTCCTAAACAGTTCTTCCCAGTTTGGGTTAAGACCCATTTTACTGCTCAGCTCCACTGGCTGTTTTACATCCAGTCCATCATGTTCTGTGTGTGCCAAGTACTTCTCAGACCAACCATGTTTAAGCATTTTTGTATTGACATGGACTCTTTTCATTGCTTCCTCAGTCATGGAAACTTCTCTTTTCTTAAAGCTTTCCACATAAATGTACTCTCTTACCCTGTCCTGTGTCCTGTCCCTGTATGTTGTCCATGGCTTCTCCTCCATTGTTCCCCTGAGTGGGCAGAGATGAAAACATCTTTTGTTTTCTTTCCTGCTGATTTTGACCACTTATTTTCTATTATATTCTCCAGTGTTATGTGACTTGCAAACTGATGAGCTATTATTGCAGAGCAAACCATGCATAAGGTGAAGCCTTGACAGATCCTCGTGCAAGGGGCACACAAAATGATGGACACTGCTCAGGAACATTTTACAGGGTCTATGGCAATAAACTGAACACCTTCCAGTCTCTATTTGGAGTCCTCAGCCAGCTTCCATGTCACAATCTGCTTCAGGGTAGGCATTTCTGTTGCTGGGATGTGGTGTTGGGGTCCATGTTGTTTTTCTGAGCTTTCTCAGTCAATGTGATCCAGAAGACCCAAGGTGGAAATGGTGTGTTAACCATAGGAGAGACAAAAACTGTTAGAGCTGTCAGGAGAGCACACTGACCCTCACAGCTCTGTGGCTGGCCTGCCAAAACTGCTGTTTCCCATGTCACCAAACTGCTCTTTACTGTAACTCTTGGCAGTCTACTGGTATTTCAAGTGTGCATTTTATACCTATTAAGACAGCATCCAGCAAAAAGAAGGGATTCACAGATCCAAGCCATCTGCAATCCTTACCAGGAAAGGTTAAGAATAATTTTATATTTTAAAGAAAAATCTAGAGCATTAAGACTATATCCTTCATGGGAAAGCAGCCTAAGAAATTAGCATTTACAAAGGAGAGCAGTCATGACTGACCTTGGTATAAAACACATTCCCCACACCAGGAGTTGGGTTTTGGATTTGCACAAAGTACAAAGGCTGTCTCTGTGTAGTGGAGGACATGCCAGAGTCTCATTGCCAGGAGATATAGATGCTGCATATCTTGCCTACGTCATGGAGAAATATCAGACAGACTGACCTAGGCAGTTGGAAAAACACAGGCAATGTGTGTGACAGCTCTGTTCCCATTCCAGCTACAGCAGGAGCTGGTGCAGGCAAGTCAGTTGTTCTGGGTCATACCAGCCATATCAGCATGTGAGGGTATTCTACAAAAGGAGCAAAACTAAGCTGCACATCAACAGCCCAGATGCTTCAAACTGATTTTGTGAAGTAATCTGGATGACAGTGAGATTTTTAGACACCAGTACAATGAAAAGGTTTAGACATTGTCCCTGATTGTTTTCAAAGGTTTGATCTTTTCATGAATAATATATAGTCATCTCCTTCCTATTTTGCTCTGTTCTGTGTACTCAAATTATCTGGGATATTTCTTTTGCCTGTAAAAAATAGTGTGACATTGAATAATGACTGATCTGCACAGGATTGCTGCCATAGTTTGTGCCCAGATTATGCTTTGCTGGTCTGTAGTTGTGCTCCTTTTTACATGTAAGTCTGCCTTTTTTGAGAATTGCCACCCACTGATACCAAAAAAGAATGTTCAGACTGACCTGTCATTTTGCTAAGTGCTAAGGAAAGAGGTAAGTGTAAGATTACTTTTGTAGCTCCAAGCAGGAACTAACACACATACCACTGCGTGCTCTTTTTATTTCCTGGAGTGCCTGCTTGATAAAGGTCTTCCAACAGCATGAGCTTTTCTAAGACCTTTCTGGGTCTATATAAAGAACAATACTGGAGCTCAACAGAAAATATTTGAGGACTTTATAAAATGGTGTGGATGACTCTGTTCAGGAGAAATGTTTGAAATATTAGGATCACAAAGCATTGCTCAGAAAAGGATAGTTATTATGATAATAACTCTTTTGTGCTTGAATTATCTGTAGGCCAGATGAGGTTTGACAGCAATGTCATATGAAAAAAAAATGTTTGTCTAGGGACTACTGTAAGGCATAAATTCTGATTACATATTTGATCTCCTCCACATCTATTTGTGAAGATTTTTAGGAAATGTTTCCTTTGACTAAAACCTTCTACACTCTTCTGTCAGAAGTCAATAAAAAAACATTTGATGATCTATGCATAATGACAATCAGAGCACAAATAAATGACACACGCATGATGTAATTTTTCTCAGTTTGAAGCGACATCAATCACAGAAAAATGGAGCTACACAGAAGAATTTGGGGCTGAAGGAAGTCTTTGGGTTGTTCTGAAGCAGATCCCTAATTTATTTCCTTATTCCTGGAAGAACGGATAGCGATTTTCAGAAGTCTCCAGGAAAGCCTGTAACTGCATTTACAGTAACTGCAAAGGGTGCTCATGTCCAAGACATGATGATTGCTCAGACATTTTTGTACTTCTCTAGCCCTAACTCTCAAACAAAACTTGTGGATTTTGGAGGTTTCATAAATGCCACCAAAGTGACAGATAACAACTTGCATCCCTATAACAGTTCTGCTACTCTTTGCTGTGCTGTATCTGTCTCATTCCCAGAATTTCCAGCTTGTTCATTTGTTTTCTGCCTCTCACCCAGATATCTGAACTCTGGTGAAGTTTCAAAATTTAAAAAGCATCTGTGATTTTTGGAACTTGTGGAATGGTTTGAATAGTTTAATGCTCTTTCTACAGTTTTTAGTGTCAATAAAACTGTCATAGACTTTTAGAGGACAAATTTATCTTCATGAAAGATCTGCAGGCATTGGCAGCAAAGATAGCAAGTGAATTGGCTTATCCAAAATAAGTCAGATTTTATTTTGACATTTTGAATGCAACACATTAATACCAAGTACAGACATCCTAAGGAAGACTTAAAAAAATGTTGGCATGCAACTGAATTTGGTCCATCCATTGTAACTTACGATTCATATTGTCCTGTGATCGTGGTATTCAGAAGTTTTTGCATGATTGTATCTTAAAACCTGTCCTGTTTTTTGCTAAACAAGACTTTCAGAATGTTATTGGCATTGCCTTTTTTATGTTTTTTATTTTCCTTGATAAGGTTATGTCTGGTGAGAGAAAGTGCCTTGCTGTTTGAAACCTCATCATCAGCAAATTGCTTAATGATTATCAAGAAATTAATTATATGTAAGCATGTTTGTTTGTTTGTTTGTTTGTTTGTTTTATGGTAAGAGTTAAAGGCTTAACTTTTTATTCTCTTTAGAATGACCTACACAAAAGTAAGGTGTACTGACCATGTGAATTGTGACATGATTGTCCGACATTTGCTACAAGCATTGAGGGGTAAGTTAATAGCTTTTATGAATAGCTCCTCATCAGCAAACATCAATTTTCATGGGGAAAGCATACAATCTAGGTCAAAGTTAGCCTTTAAAATTACATTTACAGGGGTCGATTTTTTTCATGGGAAGTTAGGAGTCAGGTAAAATGGCTAGATTATCTATTGGTTCCATCACTAAAATGCAGCAACAAATAGATTTCCACCCTGTATGAAAGTTGATTGATGGATCTTTCCCTCCTGTGCACAACTGATTTGGAGATACAGATGGTTCTTCTCTATAACCTCCCATGTTTCTTGCTAGGCTGTACATTTTTCAAGGGAAATCTTTATCTTGTCTGTCTAGCTTCAGTCGATGATTATTTCTGTTTCTAAAGATGATGCTTTTTTTTTTTTAATATTGTATTCTGAGAGCCTGAATGTGCCTAAGAGATATAATTAAAATATTTATCTACATTATGGCTTGGTTTAGATTAATGACTCTTTTGCATGTAATATACTACCAATGAAGAACCATACCTTTTGGATGCTCTGTTCTTTCTTCTCTCCTTCATCCCTCCATTAGAAAGGAAAATTTGCACTCTGTGGCTTAAGTATCTCTTGTGGCACCTTTGTAAGAAGCATCTTAAAGGTAACTCCTAGACCCTGGTTAAATGTCACCTGGTCTTTAGGGGCAGTGACAAATATTCCCATTCATGCAGAGCTGGAATCTTTTACATTGTTTAAGTCTGGTAGACCCTATGACAATAAATAAGAAATACTTTACCACTAACATTTCATTTAATGCTTTCAGGTACACTTGTTCACCTGTGCTTTACAGTCAAAGTTAAATATTATCAGCTTCTCATTGGTATCATAGGACTCCTGGGAACATCAGGTTTCATGAAAAAATTATTTAGATTGGTCTGTGGATGAGTTTGAGTGGCTGAATGTCTCAGGACATGGTGTGGAACAGTGCACCTTTGTCTTCTTGGTTTGAATTGGGAGCAGCTGAAATTTTCTAAATTTAAATGGTACCTTAAGTTACAAGGCAAATTTAGAAACTTGCAGTTGTAGAAACAAGCCTTGATGGCAAGCAGTACTGCTCACCTTGATTGGAGGGGTGGTGATGTGCATCAGCTGGGCAGGTACTTTCCCAAAGAGCCCTGGGAAGATGTGTGGATTGAGGCCATCTGAGCTGAGCATTGCACAAAGCAGGACTTCCCACCTGGAGAGAATGGCTTGGTGAGTAGCCATGAGGGGTGAGCGGTGGTCCTGCTTGGCTAGGACATGTATTGCAGGACTGTGTGTGTATATTGCCCATCCTCTGAGGAGGCTGCAAGTGTTGCATGAGGAATCCTGCAGCCAGTGGTATTTCTTTTATAGTATTTCAATTTTGTGTATGACTTTTAAAGGATGTAAACATGTGTTGTGCTCTACCATGTCAGTTTCAGGTTAGAATTGCTCTGAGTGGCATTGCCTCATGAAATACTCCCTTTGCATAATGGCTTTAATGTCTGGCTAGTTGGGAGAACTTCATTTACAACATGTACAGTTATAAGTAGTAGGAATTTTAAATTAATGTACTTATAATTTTCTGAAGATGCAAGGGCTAGCACTATATTTCTGTCTATGAAATTCTGCAGCTGTTCAGATATTTAAGCACATAAATGCCATCACATTTGTTTTATTTCAATACAATGACAAAGAAGCAACACTAGCAAGAGAAACAAGATTAAAAGAGCAGGCCCAAATGCATCACAAATGCTAAGACACTGTAACTTAAAGTATGCTTATTAGATTTATTATCTTAAAATTGACTTTTGAATATGTCTGTGGGTAATTCTTGCAATTTTGTTGCCACAACTGGCAAATCATCCCATGATTTCCCACCTGTGTAAATAGGATGTCTTAACTCACATTGAGTAATTTTTGTCCTGAAATATGACTGTTTACCAGGGCTCATTAGCTGGATACCTGGATACATTTGGATTGACAAGTACTTGAAAATTGTTTGTTGTGTTCATATGTGTATAAATACCTCTGTTTATATATATATTTATATATGTGTATAAATACCTCTGTGCTTTGAATTTTTTGTCAGTTTGGATAATTGTTTATATTAGCTGTAACCCCTGAACAACCACACTGGGTGTTTTCTTTTTAGTGATAAATACTGTTTTAGAGATAAATACTTTTTTTCATGGGTGAGACATAATTAGTGGGGAAATAAGAGAATTTGCAAATGCTGGTGCATGGATTTAGATGATGAGAAAAAGCTGTGCATGGCTGTGCATTCTGAAAGGAAAGGAGCATTTATGGTGTAACTGGTTGGCACTTGGGAGAATTGAAGCATGCAGCTATTATTGTTGAGCTCTTTTAGGCCCTTCTCAGTCTTGACCATACCTAATTCTCACTAAGGGGATGTAAGTAAACACCTTGACAGTAGACTTGAAATGTCAACTTTCTGTTTCCTAGGTCAAAAAATGTAGGAGCCCTGAGTTGTCCCTCTGATTTTTTTTTTATTGGATAACCTATGTCCTTTCATATATAGATGAATTTATAGGGAGCCTAGCAGAGTCTGCTATGGCTTTGTTGAGAATAGATCCATTTTTTCAGTCAGCTGTCTCCACATGTGCACATCCAATATCTTTGGAGCATATCTGGCACACACAAATCTGTTTTCTAATGTGAAAAGTGCACACAGCCTATTTTTTATATTTTTTCATGCATGAGCCTATTTTTCTGAAAATAAAGGACATTGGACAGAACAAAAAGGTTGTGCCATTTAAATTTGTGTCCTCTCTTCACAGTCAATTCTGAATTTTACACAACATGGAAGACCTTGTCTAGAGTTCAAATTAAATTGTACCAAAATGCAGAAAAAATGTAAAGTTTTTTTTCTGTTACAGCCATGGGATTCACAGAATCAACCTCCTTCAATACAAACCATTTCAAAAACTGAGTGCCAAGTTAATCTCTGACACAAACTTTCTGAATATACGTAAAATATCTCACATATTTCACTGATAAAGCAAAGTAATTTAAATAAATCTGGGGTGTGTCAGATCTGCTGGTTTAGAACATGAGAGGCTAAAAACTTTAGGATTTTTTTCTGTCTGTATGGAAGTTGGGTTTTTTTTAATGACTGTGTAATAATCTCTGTATTTGTCTTACTCTCTTTCCCTTGCTAATATTTTAGAACTACTTGAATACTTGACAGGGAAATTATTTGTTCTAGGCTTTGAAACACTGTACATGTTTCAGTGGAAATATGTTGACTCTAAAACAGCTGTGGTTTTATTGTTTAGGAATTATGTAGGAAATATTTTAAGAAACTCTTTATGTATAGATTAAAATATAAATGTTACACAAAAAAGGTTTTATATTTTTTCCCCTGGCTATACATGTCTGATACTTGCATTTGATCAAATGTTGTACAGAACTCTACATTAAAAGTTTCAGAGGGAATGTTTTAGATATGTGAAAAGCCACAGAAGACTTGGCCCAATATGGGATAGCAATCTTATTTCTAAATGGCTTTTGTGGTATTTTCCTTTAAAACTAAAAAGGGAAGAAAACATCTTAGAAATGTTTTAGAAAAATTTCTGATGTTTTGAAGGCTAGCAATATCTATGGGACCTTGCTGGAACTCTCAGCAGTTTGAGTTTGCCCTGCCCTGGTCCATCCAGGGATTTAGTGTGATGGTTTTTCCCCAAATATACCTGTGGTCATGTCTTAACAATCCTACGTGCTTCATTAACATTTAGTAATGGAGTGATTTCTCTGATCATTCTGGGGAGCTGTTAACACTTCCCTGTGGGGCAGAAAGCTTTTCCACCAGACTCCACTGCAAGAATCAACTCTTCTTTCTCCATATCCCTGTAGAAAATTTATGTGGAATTCCATTACCGGGATTTGAATGCCAGTTACTTCAAAGGCATTTCCAGTATGGCATCTAAGTATGGTCTCCCAGTCAATAAAGTAAGTGGCTGGTTTTTTTTTTTTTTTTTTTTTTTTTTTTTTTTTTTTTTTTTTTTTTTTTTTTTTTTTTTTTTTTTTTTTTTTGGTTTTTTTTTGTTTGTTTATTTGTTTTCACCCATGAAAATCTTACACTTAAAATTCAATGGAATTCTTTGTATTTCTGTTTTATGGCTGCTGGATGTTTCCATAGAGTACCAGGGAGCAGTAGAGGATAGAACTCTGCTGCCCCATCGTTTTGAAAGCACCCTGGCTGTGTGTCAACTGTTCTGATTTGCTGTCCAAAGGCAGTAATCCTTTAGCAATTAGGTTTCATAGAGATGAGATGAGAGTTTGTGGTCAGGTATATAAATTAAAATGATGGCGCCTGGTAAAGGTCAGAGTCATAGAAAGCTCAAGGGAGTGTTGTTTATGGCGCAAAAGCAGTTTAAATACTGTAATTTAGCTTAACAGCTATGATTCACAGAGGGTCATCAGAAGGAAAGATAAAGCAAGAAGTGTTAAATTAAATGAGGTGTGACCATCTGTTTCAATACTTGTGCAGAGAGTGAGATTAAGTTTACAGATACGTTGGTGTGACTGGTAAAGAGAGAATTTCAAATATGGCATTGGAAATTATGTTGGAGCTGTTGTAAAAAAGGAAAAAAAAATTGAGATAAGGCTACTCACACAGTCAGTCTAATCACACATCCTGGTGCTTGAAGCTTCTCTGATTTCCTTTTGAGAGTTACTGTTGGAAGTTTTAAATAAAATGGGGCAGAAAAAGTGCCTGTTGTCAACTCTGGTTTTGGGCCTACAAATGCATTTCATCTTTTGAAACAGTTTGGTAAACCTGGTGTGGAAGGTTGTACACTAGCTTGTTTTGTACAGCATTTGGCATTGTCCCTTTATAGCAGTACACATGTCAAGGAAGGAAAAGAATCCTTTCATTGTAGCATATTTCAGATCAGGATGTGAAAAATATGGCAAGATGTACCTTA